TATATATTTCTCTGTAAAACTTTGGTCGGCCATTGTGGCCCCGCCCTACCCTTGCAGGTCATGATTTGAATAAACTTGAATCTACATTACCTGAGAATGTTTCCCCATAAGTTTTATCTTTCCTGGCACAGTGGTTCTTGAGAAGAATATTTTTAAAACATACCACAAAATTTTCATTAATTCCCAGTTATCTCCCCTTGAATGAGGGCATGGCCCTTCATTTGAACAAACTTAAATCCCCTTCACCCAAGAATGCTTTGTGGTAAGTTTGGTTTAAATTGGCACAGCGGTTCTTGAGAAGAAATCGAAAATGTGAAAAATTTACAACAACAACGACAACGACAGACAACGGACAAATTGTGATCAGAAAAGCTCACTTGAGCCTTTGGCTCAGGTGAGCTAAAAATACTTCTATACAGGATTGAAAGTAGATTCTTGACAATTTCCTTGTAGAATTCCGACACCCAAAAAACGTCATTACTAAGGATATACAGTATATCTTCTTTATTGAAAAAATTTGCTACTCCTGAGTTTGAACTAATTTTCACAAAAATTATTAGAGGATTTGACATTTACATTAATATAGATCAGATTTTATAATATACAAAATGACATGTATCTCCAAATTAAAGTGTAAAGCTTACCAATGGAAATGAAAAAAAAATTACCTAATGTGTACGTGTAAAAATGACAAATTCGATTTGCGTTCTATTTAGAGCTCAACACATTAAAGAGATAATTTTACATATTTAAAAGTAAAAGTCAAAGAAAACTTAAAGATTTGCAGATTGAATATAATATTCAGAGATAAAGGATAAAAGTTACTTATTCAAGGGTTCATTCTATAGATTAAAGAATGAAATTTACATATAATAGATTTGAGTGTAAAATTTACGGATCAAGCAAGAGATACATGTACTGTGAGCACTTAGAAGGATCACTAAACGATAGCCCCCTCTCCTCTCCATCAGCTTCCATAAGATAACAGTGGTGACGTCCATGTTTAACAATGATATGTATACACGAAATAAGTGTCGGATTATAAAGTAAAATAGAGGGTTCACATGGCAATATGCAATAAAGAATCTGTGAAATTATCATTAAATTTTATTCAGTGGTATAGGAGGAGTGTAAAATAGGAGATGTATAAAAGAACTATGTAATAAAGTTTCTGTAAATGTCTCAATTAAATTTCATTTATTGGTATGAGGAGTTACGGATAAGTTGGATACCCAAAGCGTAACAGACGGACATACGGACGTACCGACAGATGGACGGACATCCCGATCACCACATGTATATACCCTCCTACTATTCAAGCAATGGTATAAAAAAAAAAGCAGATTAAAGTTTAGAGTTTACAAATTAAAATATAGCATTTAAAGTGTAAAAATTACAGATTAAGTGTAAAATATACATCTTAAAGTGAGGAAATCAAAAAAATCAAAATGTCGAAATGGCACTATTACGCTTTAGTAATGATCTATCATTGCATTTCCTCAATTTTACGTGTAATCGTCCACATTGCTTTTAATAGATTAATATAGAACCATAAGTTCCTTAAGTGATTTGACAAAGTAAATAAACACCATTCAGGATTCATGAGGAAAGCATGGCATTTTCTGTCATAATTTGGTTTTTTTGGTCATTTTTCTCATATGGTAAACATTTTCTACTTTGGTTATGATAATTCTTTTTAAATTGATTAACTTGACTTGAGGCAGTAAAATGTTAATCAATTATACTTGTATTTCTTGTAGGTGAACTCAAAGTTTCTGTGGTTTCCTCAATAATTGATGGAATTGACAAAGCTATAGTTCAATGTAGTGTAAATGGAAGCTATGACATAGTGGAAATTAAAGTTGCCTCTTCCATTGTGTTTACCGCTAACATGGTTCAACATGAGTGCTCGGTTTATAAAAACACCATCAATGTTTCGTGTTGTGATTTCACTCTGAATTTATTCTGTTTGGAAGTAATTCACCCAGAACATGGCACTGTCATTGAGTGTAAAGCTGTAAAAGGAAGAGTAAAGAGCACTGCATTTTCATATTTTTACATCAAAGGTAAATATAAAATTAAAGATTTCAAATAATTATTTGGAATCAAAATCTTTTACATGTATAAGAAGTAAACATGCACTTCTTTTTTCGGTGTATATGAAAGCAAAATTTTATAGCGTTGATTCGATTTTTGCATTAATAACCAAGGGCATTGATTTCGCTTAAATTGAATAGCGCTTACAATTCTTAAATATTCCGTATCTGTTGTTATAGATATTTTTTTGGCAATATAAGAACTACTTTTCACTAAAAGTACATATATATTTTAGAAATCACTAAAGAACTACGTACGCGAACTCTTGATTCCCGCCTACATTTTACACCTATTTAATTCAATATTAATGACAATTTGGTAATGAAGTCTTCGTTGAATGAAAAGATCTGTTCAATTATTATTGATTAAGAAATTTTAATACCAGTGTGACTTAGTTAATTATCCCTCATTCTAGCTCTTTAAAAAAGGGGGTATACGATATTTTCCGTTGAAACCGGGCTTTACACCATCACCGACTTTTTAAAAATATTTTTAAATGTGAATGAATTTTCTTAACCTCTTTTCTTATGCTTAAGCATATAAAATTTAAACATATTTCATTAATAAAATACTATGTTTTAGTCGTAAACCCCTTTGAAATTGTTGAAAAATTAAAACTTTAGTCATTTTTGGTCAGTAAACATATGTCCCCTCCCCCTGAAACACAAAAATCTTTGGTATGAATTTGTGAAATGACAGTGTATATTACCTGTATAAATGAATTTTTGTTTCACGGGAGGGGGGGGGGGGTGGAAGAAGTTTAAAAATATTTTACATTTTCCATTGATTTCTATAGTGAAAACGCAAGGTTTACTAAAGTTGTAGGATTATCTTTCTTTGTTTTCCTCAAAAAGTAATGTTTTATGGAAATTCATGTAGATATGAATATGAATATGGAAAATCGTTATATATATAAACTTTTGAAAATTGACCTGAAGGAAAGCGGGAGAACAATACTATCGTTAGTAATTCTTTGCGTCTTACTATAAATTATACAAATACAGCTTGACACACTTTTTAAACTCACATGGTTTTCGAACAAATTAAGGTCACATTGTTATAAAGTAAAATAGTGTAATGTTACAACAAGATATATTTTTAAAATGATTTATAACTTAATTTTGATCATATCCCATTACTTTATACATAATTCACACATAATAATTGGTAGGATTTTTATATGCTCTCGGTTGTTATCCTATGAGAGTTTCAAACGTCTTTTTTCATTGTTTCTCGTTAAATGCAACCGTCTTTGTATCCGTTCATTTTAAAGCATACCTTTGCCTTGCCTTTATACAGAAACAGTGCAGTTCATATAACTTCTGTATTTTCTGAACATTCATAGAACACTAAGGCGCAAGATGAAAGAAGTAACTCTCATCTGCTCGACTGCTTTCCATGTTAAAAAGATGGCATATTATCAGGTTAACTTCCTGAAATCTAGCATCATGAAAGATACCTTCCATCGCAAAATTTCAGAGTTTCGGACGATAAAAGTAAATGAATTTACTTTTCGATATTTACAATTTTCTACAATATATGTTGAAAGATAAACAATACTTTATTATCTCATCATTTTACATGATTTCTTTATGCAGTTTTGTCATTTTTCGGCGCTTAATTTCGACAAAAGCAAGACAAGTATGGAAATGTGTAAAGTACTTTAAAAAATACTCATCTTTGAGAAGTAGATTTAAACATTTCAACAAAAAAGTATCAAAGATAGTTTCATTAATTAATTTGTAAAAACCTTTAATAGAATCATACACATTTAATATCATACAATTTATAAACAAATTTCCTTTTAAAACGCTGACTATTATAACTTACTCGTAAGATAATGATTTTAGAGAATGTGCACCTGTAACATGAAACAATTTAGTACTACATGTATAAGGGTTATGCCTCGTACTGAAACTCGATAATTTTAAGCTTTATTGCAAGAAAAATATGACTTTAATTTGTGCAAAAAACTATGTGAGTTTATAAAGTGTGTTGAGCTGTACATAGTTCAAAGTAGTTAAAAGTGAATGTCACATAGTTAAAATAATCATTAAAAAAACAATTTTAAATTTTATTGACCACAAGCGTTTTTTGGATTTCATGAAACCCAGAAAGAACTTGTGTTAAATGAAATTTAAAAAATGCATTTCTTTATCTTATTTGATTATATACTGTTAACCTATTTTTATTCGCAACGACATTATTTTGCGATTTACCGGGTTTTAACTTTTCAGCGACGATTAATTTCGCGATCAAGCTTTTGATATCCCCGCTACAAAGGAGAGGGGTTATACTGTTTTACCCGTGTGTTTGTCCGTCTAGCTGTCTATCCATAACAATTTTTTATCACAGTTTATTCATCAACCACTGATCACATATGCTTGGAATTTTAAAACATTCTTTCTTCAGGCATATGGTAGGAGTCCTGTAATGTTTAAGAATATTTTTCGGTACGACTTAATCGTTCACAGTACAAATTAATAGAGTTCATGCACTTCCGCCCATGAGGGCACATGTTGTTTATGCAGTTTTCTAACTTGTTTTGATTACTTGGAGCCCATCAAAGTGTAAGTTTATTCTTTTATCATTATAATTGATTGAATTATTACATGTATTTGATAATGTCAGTGATAAATAAGCGTCTAGGTCTGTTGTTAATGTCAAACTAGTACTTCGCACATGCGAACTTTTTCGCGCCATATTTCATAATTCATAACGTTGAGATAATTATTGTCCATCAATTTAGGGCTGTTAGCTTATGATTCTTTTCTGTTTTTTGTAGCTTTCACTATATTATATATGTGTATAGATGCCTATACTGTGCATGACGCACTCGAATAAAGCATTGTCAACACGACTCAGGCTTTACAGTGAAAGACTTTGTACGCAGCTCACGCATCATGTCGGACGTCTCCGTAAGCGCGGAACTCGCCAAAATCCATCTGAAATATGCAGATGAGGAGACTGCATTGAAGAAAGCTCAAGCTGAAATCATATATAAACAGCAATTAATCAAGATGGACCTTGAACTTTTAGCAGAAAAACGTGCTATTGAAGAAATGTATTCTAAGGACAGCACTACTAGTTCAGAGGATTTAACAGATGTTAGTTCGTGGTGTTCAAGCGAATACATGCCAACATCTGTGAAAGCTGAAGAGGAGAACTTTCAGTCAGTTTATTTATCAGCTGAGACACCAGCATTCGTTCCTAGACACGTGGAGCCACATGCGCCCAAACGTATTAGAAATGGACTCACCTATCACCCTGCACAGCCATTGGTAACAGACCCATCTGCAAGGGAACTCTTCCCCAATCGACCAAAAGCTGCGTCGTCAAACTACGTACCTTTACGAGCTAACACACACGATAACAGACTTATCAACACTCCTGGAGCACATTGTCTACCAGAACAAGCATGGAAAGACACCGTTCATTCATGGGATTATTCTCCAGAACCTACCTCAGCGTTTGATAGGAATCTGCTTCCTCCCGAAGTAGATCATACGCAACATACAGGAGCTCGTCATGTAGATCAGTGTTCGGACTTTGCGAAATTCCTTCTCAAAAAGGATCTTGTTCTTACAAGACTTTCTAAGTTTGATGACCGACCTGAAAACTACCTAGCTTGGAAACACAGTTTCAAATCAGTGATGAAGGAGCTTGACATTAGCGCATCAGAAGAATTGGACTTGCTCGTGAAATACTTGGGCCCTAGTTCAACTGCTCAGGCAATAAGCGTTAGATCATCGAATCCAACAGATCATCAGAGAGGACTCGTTCGTATATGGAATCGACTAAATGACCGGTATGGCAGCCCACAAGTGATAGAGGCTGCACTAAAGCGGAAACTTGAAAACTTTGCTAAAATCGGTGTTAGAGAAAAGGAGAAACTTTACGTACTCTCGGATATTCTCTCAGAGATTGAGTCAGTGATGGAGGACTCACAGCTCAGAGACTTGTTATCGTACTTTAACACTTCCTCTGGTACAACACCTATTGTCGCAAAGTTACCGCCATCTCTGCAGTCCAAATGGAGAGACAGAGCCGTGAAATATAAGAACAGACACAAGGTGGCTTTTCCTCCCTTTAGAGAGTTCAGTGAATTTATTCGTGAACAGAGTATTATCTGGAACGACCCTGGATTTGTATTCTCATGCAATCCACAGCCAGTTCAGACAGGAAACAGGGGACTCAGTGTGAATAACAGGAAAACAGCTGTGAGAGACTCTATCAATTCTCTGGGATCAAAGTGCCCTATACATAATGCAGATCATAGCTTACAGGACTGTAAGGGATTTCTAAAGCTCTCTATGACAGAAAGGAAGAAGTTCTTGCGAGACCGCAATTTGTGTTTCAAGTGTTGTGAGTCTACGAGTCACCGCGCAAAGGACTGTAATGTGCCAGTTAAATGTAGAATATGCTCGAGTGATAAACATTCCACAGCACTGCATGTTGGTGTTACCCATAGGACTCAAGGCAATCCCGAGCCTCAGGTCAGTGAAGCAGCCGAGCTCCATGGCGGGGAGCCACAAACGTCTTTGTGTACGGAAGTATGCGGACCAGGATTTTCTGGGAAATCCTGCGGGAAAGCAGTACTTGTGCGTGTTTACTCCGCTGAAACGCCTCAGAACTATTATCATACTTACGCTCTTATCGACGACCAGAGCAATAGGACACTGGCCCGTTCAAAACTTTTTGATGCTCTGTGTAGCCCTAAGACAGAGTCAGTGCAGTATACCCTGTCAACTTGTGCTGGACGCTCAACCGTGACTGGAAGACAGATATCTGGACTTACTATAGAATCACTAGATGGGACATATAGAATTGGTCTTCCACCAGTTATCGAATGCAATAACATTCCAAATGATCGTCAAGAGATCCCTACACCAGATGTGATCACACATTTTGAACACTTGAAAGGTATTCAGATCCCACCTCTTGATGAGAAGGCAAACATTTTACTTCTTATTGGAAGAGACTTACCAGAAGTACACCATGTATTGGAACAGAAGACGGGGCCAAGGACTGCTCCATTTGCCCAGCGGCTACCACTTGGTTGGGTAGTGATCGGTAACGTTTGTCTAGGAGACACGTGTACACCATCAACTGTAGCTAGCGTCAACAAAACTACAATCCTGAGTAGTGGACGACCATCTGCATTTGAACCATGTGATAATCACTTAGCTGTTTCAATAAATACTGGGAAAGGTGACAGAATTGGACAGGATGTGTTTGTTCGGACAAAGGATGATGAGAATGAGGGATACTCTGTCGAGGACCGACGGTTCATGAAAATCATGGATAAGGAGTTTAAGAAAACACCAGATGGTCATTGGGAAGCCCCATTACCATTTAAGGAGTCAGGTTCCGCTTTACCCAATAATAGAGAGGAAGCGCTGAAACGTGCACGGATCCTACAGAAGAGTCTTCAAAGAGACCCTGTGAAACGGGACCATTTTTGCACTTTCGTGACAAAGCTGCTGCAGAATGGACATGCAGAAGTGGCGCCACCACTTGATGCAGAACAGGAGTGTTGGTATCTACCGTTATTCGGAGTGTACCATCCACGGAAAAGGGACCAGGTTAGAGTGGTTTTCGATTCCTCAGCTAACTACAAGGGAATCTCACTAAACGCCGTTTTGATGTCAGGACCTGTGCTTATGAACAGTCTAGTTGGTGTCCTACATCACTTCCGCAAGGAGCCAGTTGCTGTAATGGCCGATATACAGCAGATGTTTTATGGATTTTTCGTGACAGAAAATCATCGCAATTTCTTGCGCTTCTTTTGGCACCAGGACCATGATCCCCACAAAGAGCTGTTTGAGTATAGGATGTGCGTCCACGTTTTTGGAAATTCCCCTTCTCCGGCGGTTGCGACCTATGGTCTCCGTCGTTGTGTGGAACAATCTGAGGATCCGGAAGTGAAGGAATTTGTTAACAACCAATTCTATGTGGACGATGGTTTGGCATCCTTCCCAACAGAAGAGGAAGCTATAAGTGTATTACAGAAGACACGAGAGACTCTGTTTCAAGAGGGACAACTTAAGCTCCACAAGATAGCGTCCAACAGTAAGACTGTCATGAACAGCTTTTGCACAGAGGACTTAGCAAGTGACTTAAAAACTTTAGAAATTGCTAAGGCTGACTTACCTTTGCAGCACAGTCTTGGACTGGTCTGGGACCTCAACACAGACACATTCACATATCGAGTGCGGGACGGTGAGAAGCCATTTACCAGGAGAGGCGTGCTGTCTGTGGTCAATAGTCTATTTGACCCCCTCGGAATGATCGCACCAGTCGTACTCCAGGGAAGAATCCTGATGCGTGACTTGATAGCTGAGACTATAGATTGGGACGACCCATTACCAGAGTGTCGCATAAAGGACTGGAGGAATTGGAAGGACTCTTTAAAATCTCTAGAACATCTTCAGGTTCCCAGATGTTTACTTCAGCATTCCTACAAGGACTGTGATGTGAAATGTCTGCATGTGTTTTCAGATGCCTCAGAGCAAGCGATTGCTGCTGTCGCATTCCTGCAAGCTATTGACAGTAATAGAACTATTCGTATAGGCTTCACATATGGGAAATCCAAGATAGCACCAAAACATGGCCACACCATACCGAGGCTTGAACTCTGTGCGGCAGTGTTGGCTGTTGAAGTCGGTGAGATGGTATCTCAACATCTCGGACTTGAATTGAGTGACATTCAGTACTATTCAGATAGTCGAGTAGTGTTAGGATATCTACAGAATGCAAGTAGACGGTTCTACATTTACGTCAGCAACCGTGTTGCAAGGATCCACAGGTCATCTCAACCTGATCAGTGGAACTACATAAGTACCGAGATAAATCCTGCAGACTCAGGAACAAGAATCATGTTGGCATCTCAACTTCAGGATAGTTCATGGCTGAAAGGTCCGGACTTCTTATACACAGAAACTAAGTCTGATTTGAGTGAAGGTTTTCATCTTGTCAACCCTGAGAGTGATCGAGAGATTCGTCCTGAGGTTACTACATGCAAGACCAACACGGATGGCATGGAAACAGTAGGATATCTCAGAACATCTCGTTTCAAGCGATTTTCCAGTTGGAAATCTCTCTTATCTGCAATAAGAGTGTTGCTGCGATTTGCAACAAAGTTCAGAAAGAAGAACAAAGAGACTAAAACTAATGACACAGAACTTATCCAGCAGGCAGAGGACCAAATTGTTAGAGCAGTGCAGCTAAATACCTACCCTAGAGAGACTGAAGCTCTAATGGATGGCAGACCCATACCGCGGACAAGCTCCATTCTAAAGCTTGCGCCCTTTATAGATGACGAAAGGATCATGAGAGTGGGAGCTAGACTCCAGATATCAGACCTACCATATGATGAGAAACATCCAGTCTTGATTCAAGGAAAACATCATGTTGCATCATTGATTGTTAGACATTTCCATAAACAGACAGTTATGTGAATCAGGGAAGACATCTCACAGAAGGGGCCGTGAGAAAGGCAGGATTCTGGATCACTGGAGGAAAACGCCTTATATCCTCTATACTGTTTCATTGTGTAATCTGTCGGAGATTGCGTGGGAAGTTTGTGGAACAGAAGATGAGTGACTTACCTAAAGACCGTTTGACGCCTTGTCCACCGTTCACATTCGTTGGTGTTGATGTGTTCGGTCCGTGGGATGTGTTAACCAGACGCACACGTGGAGGTAGTGCCAACTCGAAACGTTGGGCTGTAATATTTACATGCTTATACTGTCGAGCAGTTCACTTTGAACTCATTGAGGAAATGAGTACAGGATCATTCATCAATGCTATGAGGAGATTTTATGCCATTCGTGGTGAAGTCAAAGAATTTAGATCGGATCGAGGTACCAATTTTGTTGGAGCCGCCGACGCACTACACATGAAGGTCATTAATGTAGAGGACTCAGAAACGATCTCAATCTTGGAGGACCATAGAACTGTGTGGAAATTCAATCCCCCTCATGCGTCCCATATGGGTGGGGTATGGGAGCGGCTTATCGGAGTTGCGAGACGCATTCTGGATAACATGCTCAGAAACCCAGCTAATCAGAACCTGACTCATGAAGTTCTATCTACCTTAATGGCAGAAGTCAGCGCAATAATCAACGCGAGGCCTATCATACCAGTTTCCACTGACCCAAACTCACCGTTCATTCTTACACCATCAGTTCTGTTAACACAGAAGACTGGGACCATGACACAGCATCCTGTGGAGTTGGATACCAAGGAGATGTATCGTTCCCAATGGAAATACGTTCAGATCCTGGCGAACACCTTTTGGAAACGTTGGAAATCTGATTACTTGTCAACTTTGCAGTCGAGACAGAAGTGGGAGTCCGTGAAAGAGAACTTGAACGTCGGTGACATCATTCTCTTACGCGACCGAGATGTGCCTCGTAACCAGTGGCCCCTGGGAGTGGTGTTGCGTGTGTTCCCTAGCGACGATGGTTTGGTCCGAAAGGTGGAAGTACAAGTTGTTCGAGGTGATGCAAAGACTGTGTATGTTCGCCCTGTGTGTGAAATTGTGAAACTCTTGTCTGTGTAAGGTGCAAACTGTACATTTGCATGTGAATTGATGTTTTACATTGATATTATTTTATTCTAGTCACTAGTAGTGATGTTGATTGAATTTGCAATGTATGTTGTGATATTAGCATATCAGGCGGGGAGTGTAATGTTTAAGAATATTTTTCGGTACGACTTAATCGTTCACAGTACAAATTAATAGAGTTCATGCACTTCCGCCCATGAGGGCACATGTTGTTTATGCAGTTTTCTAACTTGTTTTGATTACTTGGAGCCCATCAAAGTGTAAGTTTATTCTTTTATCATTATAATTGATTGAATTATTACATGTATTTGATAATGTCAGTGATAAATAAGCGTCTAGGTCTGTTCTTAATGTCAAACTAGTACTTCGCACATGCAAACTTTTTCGCGCCATATTTCATAATTCATAACGTTGAGATAATTATTGTCCATCAATTTAGGGCTGTTAGCTTATGATTCTTTTCTGTTTTTTGTAGCTTTCACTATATTATATATGTGTATAGATGCCTATACTGTGCATGACGCACTCGAATAAAGCATTGTCAACACGACTCAGGCTTTTTTGTTCGAGTCCGATGTCAACTTGCTTATCCGTGAGGCTGTTCATATCATTCTGAAAAAAAATGTCGCGGTTTTCTCAGCATCTACTAATTTCAGGTGCTTAAAATTTCACATACATTGCTGAGGCATGCACTATGGTGGGATTCATATTTGTTTGAATCAGCTGTCAACTTCCTGTATTTCCATGTGTTGTCTGTCCGTACCATACAGAAAAAAATTAGTTGTAGTTTTTTCAGCAACAACTCATCGCAGATTCCTAAAATTTTAGCACACTCTTTGTCGAGGAATGCCATACGATGGAATTCATTTTTGCTCAAATACGATGTCAAATTCCTGTTTATCGGTGCATCTGCCCGTAACCGAACTTGTGTGTTTTAACATGATTGTGTATATTCACTTGAGAGCATTTTATCTATTGTTAATATATGTGAATGATAAATAATATAATTTAGTTTCAGTCAATTCCTTAACATTCGAGCCCCCAGGACAAATTATCGATATTCGAGAGGGAGATGTTGTTCAGTTCAGATGCTGTACTTCGCCTTCAAGACCTACGCCCTTAATTTCCTGGTTCGTGGGTGAAAAACCAGTTCGTAAAAATACAGTGACCTCTATTAAAGATTTCAAGAACAGCACAGTTTCCGTTTGCAGTATTCTAACCCTCCGATGTACAAGAATATTACAGGGTATACTTATTCAATGTTTATCTTCTCAAAATTGGACTGATGAAAACCCGTTATTGGAAAGAAGATCACTAAACATTTTATGTAAGTTTTCTTTTAATTTCTGACTTCCGAATGAATCTTACACGTTTCTTAAACGATTCTTGCACGTAAGTCGCACGTTTCTCACACTGATCTTACACGAAAGTCGCACGTTTCTCACACGCTTCTCGCACGCTCGCTACACGGTTTGCATGAAACACTTTGAAGCTTACACGAAACGCTGCACGGTTAACACGAAACGTTTGCACGAAACGCTGCACGGTTTACACGAAACGCTGTACACGGTTTGCACGAAACGAAAAGTGCACGAAAGTAATACGATTTTTTGGAGCAGTAGCACGTCTCAGGGTCTGTAATACTGAGCTGTCAAGAGCTTGTGGGAGGCGGGGTATTATTTAATGAGCTCAGGGTTCACAGTTCCTCTAGTTTCTGTCTGTCTTACCACATTTTTATTTGAAATGCTTGGGAATCTGTCTAAACTATAGAAGTTTATTGAAATTCTTAAATGACGACATGATAGATAATTACTTCAAGTTTTATCCACTTTTCCTTATTTTTATTAAAGTTTATATGAAAACACATGTGAAGTTTGAAAACTCTAGTTAAAATTGTTCAAAAGTTATGGTCAAGGTTAAAGTCTTACTTTTTTGTCGAAGTAGTTTAAACTCCAAAGTAAAGTTCAAGAGGTCAAATTCGGATGTCCCTATGAAAGGTCTTCTCACAAGAAATACACCTGTGAAATATAAAATTCATAGACCCTTTCAAACGTTATGAGTAAGGTTAATTTTTTTGCGGGACAGGCAAACAGACGGAGGGGCAGGGAAAAACTTTATTCCCTCCCCTCCCAATTCTTCCATTACAGGGGCATAAGAATAATTTAAGTGCACTTTTTTTGAAACGACTGGCTACAAAAAGTTGTTTAAAGTTTACGTTTATCTTTTTAAAATTGAGATTTATTCTTTTTCTTTGTCTTCCTAATATTGGTCGCCCGCGTGGCGCAGTGGTTAGAGCGTCTGCTCTAGAGTCGCGAAGAAAGGAGTCAATCCTTACGTCGCGGGTTCGAATACCACTGTGGGACGTGGAGACCAGTCCTTCGGATGAGACAGTATAAATTGGGGCCCCGTGTAGCAGTAGGTGCTGGCACGAAATATATCCTTCATCTAGATCACTGCTCAAAGGCCCTGAGTACCGAGCATAAAACAAAATTTGTAGACCTCCACCGGCAAGTGGTGGCGTCTCCACATGAGTGAAAATTCTCGAGAGGGACGTTAAACAATATACAATCAATCAATCTTCCTTATATCCGTATTAATGCTTAGTACATAAAGTTCCATTTAGAAGTTTTTATATATAATACCAGTTTCTTGGTATGATTGCATTATGATACGAGATTTACAACTTTCAGTTGATTCGATACACAAGAGTATGCTTTACGTATGAACAATTTAAAAAAAAAAACATGAATTATTGACAGACAAATTGCTGTATCAAACATATCAGCAGTCTCGTTTAAAGCCATCGTTCTTTAGTTCTATATGGTCGATACAATTAATTTGTCAGCAAATATGCTCACCGTCAATAGAAACGCAACACCTTAATTTCAGGGTGAAAATTATTTACAGGTTATAACTATGTACCAAAAAAGTTAGGACATCTTTTACTTTGCCAAATCAGATATTTAACAGTTGAATGAATTTCTGTCCATTACCGAAAGTTGCTTTTTAGCCCTCTTAAAAGAATTCAAAATTTTCCATTTTTGATAAAATTTAACAATATTTTGGGTTTTCATGGTTTTAAAACTGTTAATCATAAGTATTGTACTAAAAGCCTGGGAGAAAATCCATCATCTTTCTTTACCGGATTTGATGCCACCTCTGATATTTTTGGAGGTCCGTGATGTTCTGCTCTAATTTTGTATTATATAATGGACTTCTGAGCTTTAATACTATTCCTTATTTCAATATACTTCATCTTAATATTTTTCCAAAATACGTACGACCAAAGTTTCTGAAACTAATTTTTTTATATCCCCTTCATAGAAGATTCGGGGTTGTATAGTTTTTCCCTATCGTCCGTCTGTCTATATGTTTGTCTTGTTGTCCGCAAAAGCATTAAACTTGTTTGTAACTTTTGAGTGGATGGGAGAATGACTTTCATATTTCACAGGTGTATTTTTTGTGACAAGATCTTTCTTTTCATACCTCCTTTTGACCTTGACCTTGGGGTTTAATTGACCCACTTTTACACAAAAATTCGAAACTTCAACCTTTGCCATATCTTTTAAACTGTTGGTGCTAGGGCTTTCAAGCTTCAAATGTGTAATCATTGTGACAAGATCCTTCAGTAGGTATGCTAGACATTTTTACTTTTATCTTGTTCCATTTAAAAAAAATACCTTTGCCTTAACTTTTGAACTTTTTGTTTAAAAGATGCATTTCTTTTTATTTACGTATTTTATGCGGGTGTTTCTAGAGTAATACACATACTTAGTATAGTAAGTAGGTTGTGTGGAGGTAAGTTTTTCTCTTGTGGTGGACAAGAGACCGAAAACCTTTCTTTTTCCACAGCAAAGAGCTTTTTGTTTGTTCGTTTTGGGGGGTTTT